GACGGAAGCTGAACATTTCACGAGGCACTCCGCGAGCGAGAGGGTGATTCGCAAATATTGTGCTTTAAATTTTATTGCATTTTGGTCCCTGTATCTATGTGTTAATAGTTTTTGTTTTTCTAAAATAAATTAAAATAGAAAAAGAAATGATTCCTCTTGGTTTAGTTAGTTTGTTGTATTATTGCAGCGCGAAGAAATAATACACCATCAAGTAGCCCTGATGTCGATTACACATATATACCATAATGTAAAACAAATAATGCATATACTAAGAATTAATCAGCAAAATGGACATAACGATTACAACTTAATTCATGATAAATCTAATTACGTGCATATAGAAATGAAATTATAAGATGCATTGATCACATTTAACTTATGACACAATGTAGTGTTGATATAGAAATCAATCGTCGTCCACGATACTCAAAGCTCTATATCTCCCTCTAGATCTAGGTCTAGGAATAGGGGGAAGATTTGATAATTTCACAAAGTTACCAACTTTCACTTCATCTAAAGACTGCTTGCACGAAAAGATCATACAGAAATAGCTGCTCTTCTTTGATCCCTTAGACGATCCATTATAATCAATAGAAGCCTTTTTGCTATTTCCGAGAGTAGTACTTTTTGTGCACTCAATTAACGCTGTAATAAAAGGGTCATCACGTAGCGAAGAGCTTTTCCCAATTATTGGAGGCCGAAAGGCTGCACACGGAGGAGGTGGCGGAATCTTTTCGCCGTTGAAATGATAATTAGAGGAAGAGAAATTTTGGTGTCGCATGAAATATTTAGATACGCCAGGTGAATCTTCCCATGAAAATGCTATACTACTACTTCTTCGTATATCAACTATTCCAGGACTCATTTTTTTCTCTGTGTTTGGCATTAACTGATCATCTTTGCTTTTAATTTTAGCATCCATTTTTTCATTTATATTCAGCAGTATAGCTTGGCTATTACACTAAGATCGAGTTCCTTGTCACGGCCAGCAATTGAAACGACGTTAAGACAAAAAAAAAAAGACTATTTTGCTTGCAGACGAATTTAAGAGGTTAATTTGTTGCCTACTTCCCTTTGTTATTTGCTTTACTTCTACTTAATACCCCTTATGATCAAGAAAAGAGTCTTAAATTAAACTCTCCTCCGTCCCAATTTATACGATGTAATTGGAATTTTGAGAGTCAATTGAGTTTTTTTTAATCGAAATGTTTTTATATATCTTTTAATTATTTTATGTTGTTTGTTATTGTAATCTATAGTGCTTTTTAAGTTTTCAAATATATAAATTTTATTTTAAAAAACTTAAAGTTTAAATGTTCCAATTCATGATCAAAGTTTAAAAATTTAAATCTCAAAATTCTAACCGTTCTACATAAATTGGGAATAAAGAGAAAATGATTTTTTTGGTCAAATCTATTTGTGCAGTCAAAAATAATATTTGTCTTGACATGCATGGACCATCTCTTAAGTAGAAGTAAAGCAAATAATATTTGTTGTAATCCGCAAAGAAACAGATAGAATATACATGCTCCTTAGGTAAATTTGGGGGTCAGTATTCCAACAATTATTGTAATTTAAAACTATTCTTATAGTCTCAAAACAGAAAGAGTACTTTGATGCGGCTTTAACACATTAACTTAGTTTTCAGTAAAAAAACTGGCAGAATACTATGAACAGAAGTACTCACAATTACTCCTCTATTTATTTGAATTAGAACATGTAGTTTTCGAACTTTTAAAAATCAAATTTATATGTTAGAAAACTATATATAAAAAAATATTATATATGAGTCAAAATAGTTGATAATTCAAGATATTAAAAATACTTATTGAAAACTGTGATCTTTACAAACCTCTTTGACTCTCCAACTGATAAATCCGTCAAATAAAATGGAAGAATTACAATTTGTTGTATTAAAAGAATTTAAGAATGGGTAGAGAAATTGTAATCGAATAAAAAATTATCTGGTACATGAACAAAAAACGTGATGTAAAATGCGAGAGAGGGAGTATTGGATGTTTGCTATTTCAAATCATATATGCTTACACTTTTTCTTTTTGTTTAAGCATTAGATACCAGAAAAATGTTAGCTCAATTAATTAAAATTTGTATAGAAAAGGCTCATTAAAAATAAAGAATCAAAATTTTCATACCAAAAGCTAAAACTCAAGATATTTATTAAAGGAGAATGAATTAAAAATAAAAAGTAAAATTGTTGATTTCAAGTTGTTTTTATAGAAAACAGAGAGCGATATTTTACCCTCTTAATTGACATCATCTAGTTAATTTAAGTAGAGAATCTTTGCCCACCAAAAAAAAAAAAAAGTAGAGAATCTTTAGTTCCTTGGTTAGAGTTGAGGCTTCACTAGAGTTGGTGAATTGTTTATCTTGTTTTTATCAGCTTATAACATTATAACTACTTTTGTGATTTTATTCTTAAAGATAAGGTTTGGTAAAACTACTCCAACAGTGAAATCATTATATAGAAATAAAAACATATACTGTATGTGAAAGGCGATGGTTAAACTGACAACCGTACGTTAAATTGCACCATAAGCAACCAGGTTGGTTGGAGAACTTGGAGGTACCAAGTCGAAGATATTAACTTGGTCCGTAAAATGAGTTTTGGTACCACCATCAAACAAAATGTCCTGCATACCGCCTTTTCATCAATAAAAAGCTTTATGACATAGTGTTATCATGATTTTCTGACGTAAATCTTAAATCTAAAATTTTAAATTAATGGATTCTTATATTAAAAAATAAAGTAATTATAGAATTCTGAATAAATTATTTATATACCTTCAGTAAATTTCTTAATACAAATCATGAACGCCGACAAAGGCTTTTCCCGAATGAATTTATAACGGAAAATATGGATAAATTAATGAGCAGACTTTTTTCCCTCCGTCAATGATCAAAACTTAGATTGATTGTGGTTTGCACATTATAATGGAGGAGATGCATGGAATATATGCAGCGCACAAAACTAAACTTTACGTTTCATTTAAACTATACGTACGATAAGTTATTAATTTGAACCCTCTATATCTAAATGCTAAAATGTTTATACTATGGTTTATCATTTATTAGTTATATATATATCATAATACCAAATAGAGTGTATATAACTAATACATTTATTAAGTATACACCAATAAAAAGTGTATAACAAAAGTATTAGTAATACATAAAATCAATGTACGTATTATTTTTTTCTAATGTATCCTTCCAAACGACCCCTTCATCCTCTCCGTTTTGGATATAATAATTTTTCAATATTTGTTAGTACAATTTTTATTTTTTTTCAAAAATAAATAAATATAGAGGATTGTAAGAATATTTCAATGAAGTGATAGTTTTCTATTTTTCTTTCCAAGCAAAATCAATATAAAAAAAAAAACAATTATTTCAAACTTCAATTTCATACTCTCTTTGTCTCCCTCTTCGGCCAAATATTGCCCATACACGAAGTAAAGAGAAAAATGACATAAATAGTCCCTTAATTGTAGGAGTAGGTCTAAAATGATTCTTTAACAATATTTTTGTCTAACTATACTTTTATCGGATTTACTTCTTTAACTATTCTAAAACTTATCAGTTTTGATCCCTTAACTATACACTTATCGGTTTTAGTTCTTTAAGTATTCAAGAATTTATCAGTTTTGATCCATTAACTATATACTTACCGGTTTTAGTCCTTTAAATATTAAAAAACTTATCAGGTTTGGTCTTTGTCCATTTTTTTATACAAATAGTTTAAGTTTATATTAACAAAACTCTTCATAAAATTAAATTTTTAACCCATTTCTAAGTTGTTTTTCTATCCCCACTACTTTTCTTCAAATTACTCTTATAACAATAACATCACGATTCAATATAAAATTAATAAGGAAAGAAGATATAAGTTCTAATTTTATTTAATGGAGGATAAAATGAAGCATTTAACTGTTACTAATGGCTAGAATATGATATGTCTCCTTCTTTGGTGGTTAACGGCTCGTAATCAACGCAATCTTTTTAAATTTTATTTTTCATACAAAAGAAAAATAAGAGATTTAATCTTATTACTCAAATTTTTCTACGTAAAATAAAATGAATGGAATAATAAAATCAATCTATTTAAAAAAAAAGTTACAAATCTACCATTTTATAAATTTCAACTGCTAAAAAAATAAAGCAATTTTTTGTCAATAAAGTCGTTGGAGTACAATTTTTAATTCAACAGATAATATTTTTTTCTTTTTATAATAAAGTTTAGCATATTCAAATCATTAGTAGCAATAATATGCTTCATTTTATCGTCCATTGAATAAAATTATGACTTATATTTATTTTGAATCGTTGAGGTTAAAGTTCTTTGCATAGGGGTAATTTGAAGTAAAAATAGCGTGGAGAGAGAAACAACTGAAAAAATGGCTAAAGGGTTTAACTTTTCGAGACATGAATTCCGTTAATATAAACCTAAGTTATGTGTATAAAAAATGGACAAAGATCAAACCTAATAATTTTTTTAAAAAACTTGAAGGACTAAAATTGATAAATAGTTAAGAGACTAAAACTGATAAATGTATAGTTAAAGAACCAAAATCTAATTTTGAATAGTTGAATATCTAAAACCCACAAAAATAAAGATTAGGGGCTATTTTAGACCATTCCCTACAGTTAAAGGCACTATTTTTGACATTTTCTCACGAAATAAACCCAGTTTACAACTTTGTATCTGGTCCAAAGCATTGGCATTGTACTTAAGCCCAACTGATCAAATTCCATGTCATGTTGAAGCCCAAACACGGTCCACCTTCTTAGATTTGGAGGTTAGGGTTTTCTGTGTGTATAAAGTGCTCTTCTTCTATCTCAGATGGTAGTTTGAGGCGGTGAAGACAAAAATGCATTCCTGAGATAATTGTAATGCTACAATTTTCATCAATTTGATGACTCCTGTGCGTGTCGTCTGAGCCTCTCTTTTTTGCTTTCTTATCATTTTTTTTATTTTGAAGAGGCCATGAAGAAATCAATCATTTCTCGATGCTGATATATAACTATATCAAAGTTATATACTTTTTTGATGACCTATTTGTGCGTGTCTGAGCCTTTTTTTGTTTTAGCTTTCATCAATTTTACTTTTTGCTGTAACTGTTCTATGGCAGGGAGGACATAATATCATGGTAAAAACAATGAAGAATTCCTTTGGTTTTGGTTAGAATGTTGTAAATAATGGCTTCACAAAAAGAGTCTGCAGCAGGTGCCGTTTAATGGTAACCCGTCTGCCGCATGAAGCCTAAATGAATCCAAGATGAAGATCCATTAGAGTTTGTTGTACTCTCTTGACACAATATCTTGGATATATTTATACATTATTGCTCTTCAAGGGCATATCTCAGACAACGGGTATTTTCTTCTTATTTCAATGAGAAATTACCTTTTGCACGGTGCCTATATAATAATGCTACTTATCTCGATTGGAGGATGTTCTTGTTTATCCCTAGCATTCCTTCAAATTAAAAGTAGCCAAATTATATCAAGCAGTGATGAGATAGCTAACATGTAAGGAGATCTATTTTAAGCTTGGATCAGCTTGGATCTTCGATGAAATTTTCTTGTTACGCTTGGCTTCTGAGCTTTATTTCCTAAATTTATTTGTTACATAACCTGATGAAAAAAGCAGGGACCTATTGCCTTTTTTTGTGAATGGGTCTCTCGTAAACTTCAGGGATATCAAAAATTGCATTGTTATTGGGTGAACCACTTGACTTAATTCATGATAGAATGGTTCAGTAAACGATGATACATTATGTTTTTCTAGATCAAAATTGAAATAGAGAATTTTGTACTAATCCCATAGGAGCTAATTATGAATCAAATGTTTTTCAAACCTGATGAAAAAAGCAGGGATGGATTGCCTTTAGTGAATTGATCTCTCGTAAACTTCAGGGACATCAAAAATTGCATTGTTCTTGGGTGAACCACTTGATTTGTTTTTGATGGCTTGGTTCAGTAAACGATGATAAATCTTTTGCTACTAATTTATTCTAGCATCATTCATTTTACATTGAATAATTATTTCGTGTTGATGTTGTATTATTTATGGTCGTTTTATTTATTTTTCCGTTTATTTGTTGCAATACTAACCAACTCGACAGAATATAAAGAGGATCACAAGCTTGTGTAAACACCCAATGAACTCATGTGGACATTCTTCAGCCCAAGGACAACTGCGGACTCAAATTGATGCTCTAATTTTCTATCTTGTAACCTAGCTTTGATATTTTGATGTAATATGGATTGGTTCCAGATTTAATATTATGTTTCCATTTCCGAGTATATTTACACTAGTGAAATATGAAATATTTATAAGATAATAATATGTACTCTCTGTTCCTAATTACTTGTCTATTTTTCCTTTTATAGTTATTTCTAATTAATTGTCTATTTTAACAAATCAAGAAATGACAATTTTTTTTACCTATTATATCCTCAATTAAATGATTAATTACTTTGAAAAATATAGAATTTTTCATCCACATCATAATTAATAGGGGTAAAATGGTAAACTTACTATTTCATTAATTATTTTCTTAATAGACGTGTTAATTCAAAAGTGGACAAGTAAGTAGGAACAAAGGGAGTAATATTTATATTTAGTTTAGTATCAAATATATAGATAATATTAATATTTCTCTTCAGCTGCGAAGTAAATGGAGAACAAAATATGTATATAGTAGAACAAAATATTCATCGTGAAGTAAATGGAATAAGAGGTAGTATGTTGAAATAACAATATATTGTATTACGTTGAAAATATTTTATCTCTATCATTTGTAAGAGTACTAATTTTCTATACAAACTCTTATTTCGTAAAAACAAAATTGAATAACATTTATTTATTATAATTTTTTAAATATTAATTAAGTATTTATAAGAATTATGAAAAATGAAACATACAAAAGTTATGAATAATATTTAATATTAGAAGTTACAAGTAAGATGAAGAGACATGAGTTATAAGTAATTCAAATGTATAATTTTATTAGACATTAAAAGTATTACCAATTATGCATTGATTTTATTTGTAAAATAAATAAATAAAAATAAGGGGTGAAAATACAAAAATTGAACAAAAAAGATATAATAATCGATGATTGCATAAAAATTATAAATACATTTCAAATCAAAAGGAACGGTGACGAAAACAGATTGTTACATACGCAAAAAATATGGCATCATGAAACTAATATTTTATTTTTGAATTACTTTTTTGTAAGTATAATAAAAATGAAAGTCCTAATCATCATAATTTTTTGGGAAAAAAAGTTTGAAAAATACTCCAACTTTGGTCGAAATTATTGTTATGATACCAAACTTTATGAATGACCTTTTACCCCCTCTGTACTATTCAATAGTGTATTTTAAAGGTATATATGTACCCACGTGGACATCATAAATATTACATCATTATAAATAGTAACGTGTCCACGTGGGCACATATATACCTTTAAAACACATTATTAAAAGTGCAGGGATAAAAGGTCCTCCATAAAGTTTGATATCGTAACATCAATTTGGCCAAAATTATAGTATTATTCAGACCTTTTTCCCTAATTTTTTGTTGTTGTTGTTGTTGAAATGGGATAATTATATTAATTTTGCTTCATAACAAAGAAAAAGTAGAATAGTAAAGGATCAAATGATTACCGTTGACAATACATTTAGCTAAATTATTTATACAAACCAAGAATCAAAAAATTAGAGCAAAAGTAACTAAGTTATTAATACAAGTCAAAGTGAAAAACAAATCTAGCAAACATAATCTCTAATTATGCTTCTTCTTTTTTTCCTTCTACCATCTTCCTTTGCAAGTGCATCCGCCACCATATTTTGATCCATTTGTCAAACTCTTCATTATATGCAACCAACTGAATTTAAAATATCATATACCAATTAAAATTAATTATATCAAAAGAAAGAATGAAAATTAAACTATATGTAATATATATGTATATTTTTTTCAATAGTACTAATAATACCAAATAATAATCATTTCTTGAAATCTAACAAATATTATAATCAAACTATATTATATCCGGAAAACTAACTACTAGAAAGAGCAATTGCATACCGACAACACATTGTTAAGAATTACACAAACATTTTTTTTTAATCATACTTATTTGGTGAATGGTAATACAAACATAAATAAAATATTAAGAATGCATGTCTAAGTACATAAAAATAAAAATAAAGACTTGAGAATGAAATATAACTTCATGTACTTCTTTTTTGTTATATGTTAGTTAATTCACAAACAAATATGATGAAGAAGAGAAATTATAATTTTGTATGTGAATCTTCATGAAAGTAAATATGAATTTATATGAACAAATTAAAAAGAGGAAAGAAAAAATAAGAACTTGAGAATGAAATATTTATTAACTTCATGTACTTTTTTTGTTACATGTTAGTTTCATTCACAAACCAAATATGAATTTATATAGACAAAATAGAGGAAATGAAAAAATAAAGATTTGCAATAAAATATTTCTTACCTTCGTGTACTTCTTTTTTGATACAAACCAAACCAATATGATGAAAGAGAAAGGATGATTTTGAATGTGAATCTTCATGAAACTAATATAAATTTATAGGCAAAATAGAGGAATCCCATAAGATATCATAAACTTATAAATTTAAGTTTGGATGTTGTGGACATAAAAAGTATGAGAGTTATGAATAGTCCTCTTTAAAATTAAAGAGGGGCAAATCATGGGTAACAACTCCTTGTGAATAAATTAAAAAATAAAGAGAAAAATACTTAAAATATAAAAATTATTATTATCATTTCATGATTAGAAGTGAGACAAACAATTAGAAAAAAAAAGTGAAGAGTTTTTTGTTGTAAAGTTCCTACATTAATAAAATATTTATTTGTAATAAATTAAGTGATTTACTTTTACAATACAATAATTAATTTGAATTTAAAAAAAGTGAAAAAGAAAGAAAAAAGATAAATTATGTTTTTCCTTTATTATAAGTGAGACAAACAAATAAAAAAAAGAATGTGAAGAGTTTTTGTTGTAAATGTTGCTCCATTAATAAAATATTTATTTGTAATAAATTTAGTAATTTATTTTTACAATACAATAAGTAATTTATTTTAAAAGTAAAAAAAAAAAAAGAGAAAAAAAATACAAATGGAGGTCATAGAGAGGTGTCAAATCACCTTGTTTATGTTTTCTCCTTTATTATATACTCCATATAGGAGTCCGGAGCCAAAAGGACAACTTTTTTCTTTAAAAAAACTAAAACGGAACATCAAAATATTTTTTAACCAAAAGGGCAAAATCGCTCCGTCAGGAGCGATTTTCTTTTGACAAAAGTTGACGTCGTCCGTTAAAAAAAAAAATCTTTAAGAATTTTTAAAAAAAGATTTTTTTAAAACTGCTACACTTCTAGCAATTTTGATAAAATTAAAAAAAAATCACGATTTTTTTTTTGATGTGTTTAATCTTGCCCCTTTTGAAGTTTTTTTTTTTTTAATTCAATATTCTTTTATTATTATTTATGATATATAATTCAATTTTCCTCGTGCTTCAACAATTTTATTGAGTATACTGTCCATCTTGTTTATCATTTTTAAATTATTAATAATTAACAATAGGCATGAAAATAATAGCACATTAACAGTAGGCATGAAAAACGCTACCCCTGCAGCGATGTAAGAAAAAAAATCAATTTAAAATTGTTGTTGTGGCAGCGATTTCTAATTAAAAAAAAAAGAAAGAAATTTTTTTATGGACAAAATCGCAATTTTTAGTCATTGTGTCAAAGGGAAATTGCTTCGTCAGGAGCGATTTTGCCCTTCTGATTTTTAAAAAAATTGATGTGCCCTTTTGAAATTTTTGACAATTTTTCTTGCCCTTTAGGCTCCGAACTCCTCCATATAGATTGGTAGCAAATCTCTTAAGGACTTCTATATTGAATTTTAAAAGTTCCCACATTATATGTATGAATAACTACATCACAAAGATTGTATAGGTTGTGGACTTGTGGTCATATATTTTCATATTTATAGAGGGAGTACTATTTTATTGGCATTATAACACTTGAAAAAAGAAGCACACTGTATAGCATGTAGCACGGCAACCTTAATCAAGTATATACAATGAATAAAAATCAGTTTTCGTGGTATTAATTAATTAAAAGCCATGCCTTCCATTTATAGACGAGCAATAATCAGATTAGTTTTGCTAATAGAGACTGTCAAGAGTAGAAGCTTCGCTTGGAGACTATTAAAACTTGGCAGCCAAAATACATCTATCCAATAATAGTGTAAGTATTTGGCAATCAAAGCAGCAGATGAGTAATTACAATCACTGTTCTTTTTCAAAGTTTAATGGTATATTTGAACCTTCTCTTTCGTGTAAACAATCTACCCTACACTATTAGAACCATGGTATATTTGATTCTTTTCGTGTAAACAATCTACCTACCTTATACTTTTACAACCATCCATTTCTTTTGTAGAAGAAATCTTTCTGGTAAAGCACGTTCCATAATCCATAGCAGCTCCAGGTTTGGACAAGAAACCAAAGATCAATTGTCTATACCTTATTCATTACGCAGTATAAACTAATTACAAAGCCCTAAACAGCAAGCTAATTACATACTAAAAGTCTGGAACTGCAATTCCAAATGTGCAAAATAACTTTTTCATTTATATAAACCTCCAATAAGAAAAAACTTAGAAAACGAGAGTTCCACATTAATGTTACAGGAAAAAAACCAAGGTAACAATCACAAATACTTTGGAGTTCTCTGGATGGATAAGCTAACCTCAAATGTCTGTCTTAAGTTACAACAAGACATACTTGTCGAAAGTATCAGCTTTGATAAAAAAAAGCAGACCCTGAAAACTGAGCAAAGGGGAAACGTAAAAGTAAGGAGATAATCAACAAGGTAACTTTCTACTGTTCTGGATCTGGCGAGAACACACTGCTAGTGTAATTTGTTCTCAATCAAACACGAGACTTCCATCGAAGGAATACACAAAGAACTCGCCACTGTTGAACCGATCACGTCATCACACATGGCAATACCCTCGTGAACCTTCTTGCTGTCACCTCGTGGACTACTCCCTGAACTACTGTTTGAGAGTGAAACAAAGGTTGTCTTCTGCAGGACACCTGTGGGAGATGATCCAAATGAAGGGCTGTTATCCCAAACCTCGGTTCCCAGGTTCAAAGCTGAGACACTCTTGCCATCTCCGGAATAACCTGCAGTACTATTCAGGACTTCTCCTAATGGACCACCAAGTGAATTTTCCCAGGATACTGGTACCCAATTAGCTGTCTTTTGCATAGGTTCGCCATAGCTACTTGTCATTCCTAAGCCCATTTGGATGGGATCAACATCACGGGATACCCTTAAAGGGGAAAGAGTGAGCTTCTCTTGCCGAGGAGAACTTGAAGAAGGTGAGAAATCTGAGGCAGTCATGGGAATGGACATGGACAGTTGAGTCCAGTCTTTTAGTTGATCTGGCCAAGATGTAGAGGCGCGTGACGACTGTTCCTTTGCCCATCCATCAATGAAATGGTGAACTGGATGTTGTTCACTTTGTTCATGGTCATTGAAATCTAGGAAAGCAATAGGATTCTTAGGATTTGCAAAGGAATTTCTTTGCGAAGGATTAAGCAGGGAATCCGATGAGACTAGTCCGAAATCCGTCTGCGAGGATAACTCAACTCCATTATGTTGCTTTTGAACTGCAATAGCTGAGTCCTTTGGCGTCACACAAATTGTTGGAGATATCACAGAGGCACCTCTATGACCTAGCATTCTGTAATATAAATAAATTTTCTATAAGGATTCTGTCATATTCAGACTTGTCAATTAGGGCCAAAGAATAATAAATATGTAATGAATTTCTAGTTACTTTTTCCTTTTATTACCAGCAAGGTTTTCCGATGGTAAGATAGTAAAATCAAATGTTGTTGACAATCCTTTTCATAATCAAAATCTTTTCAAATAAATTATTTCAAATTTTTGATTAGCGCCTAACGAGAAATAAAGGCATCCATTTCAATATTTAGTACCTGTTGACAAGCTGCTCAGTGGAAGGATTGGCAGCGCTGGGCTGCAAGCTATTAGATTGATGCTGAACAGTACCAAGGCTGTTGGATGCGCCGTCGCTGATGAGGAGGGTGCCGCTGCTGGATATCACCATCGCTGATGAGGAGGGTGCAACTGATGCCACCTTTGAAGTGGTGGATCCAGAGACAGCATGGTTATTCTGTACTTCCACATGCTTTCTTGAACGATGGCGGCCTCTATTTATGTGTCTTTCACAGTACTTCTGATCAGGGACAGCTTCTCGAGAGCACCGCCATTTCTTTCCATCTGTTCGACGACACCTACCAGGCTCGGGATCAGTGTTGCCAGCGAAACCAAGATGGAAAGTACCCCATCCCCCTACATGTACCACAAAGTAGGCAAAAGATGAACAAACAAACAGAAATGAAAAAAACACACAGAAAAGCAGAAAAAATATAGGAGACTAATATATCACTGGTAAATAACTTTATGGCACGAAAGTAAAAAACTACGCGAATGTCCTCTAACCCTTTGAAAATTGAAAGGTCTGATGTAAATTACCTATGAACATTCTGTAACTCACCTAAAATGTGAGATGCTGAACAAATATCCCAAACGTTAGGAAAACTGAAGTACAAGATGAAGTCCAGAAATACGCCAATTTTTAAGAGATAAAATTACTTCTGAACTGTATGCAGAATATTATTATTTTCAAATCATAAGTCATACGATTGATTCTTTAAAATTGAAAAGAAAAAACAGAAAGTATTGATAGGTAATAACTTTTTTCACAATATTCTTCATGCTTCCTAAAACAATGTATATCTATCACAGAATAAGTAAAGTGTGTATTATTAGGAAATCCTATATGTGAAAGGACGCCCTAGAATATAACACGAGAAATCACAAATTCAGGTATGGATATACTTCTAAGCAGATATATAGGATTAAGAAATGGAACTAGATTAGCACTGAACCAAAATCTTTAGAATCCAATATAAGGTTCCAATTGTCTAAGAGACAATAGGGATTTCCCTACAAAGTAACTGAGACAGATAAGCAACAAGGTTTAAGACTCTTCGGAGTTGTTTCATTCATGGCGTTGTTATGAAGCAATAAGTGGCATACATGGGATCTACTGTAAGTGGTGTTAACATTTAAAGAGGTGAATAAATGAAAAAATCACTCTAACAACAGCATATTTTAGAAAAACACAATTCAAGTATAATATTACAACACTCCTCGACAAGTTCTCATTTTTTAAAATGTACCCATAATAGAAACTTTATTTTCTATATAAGACACCAAAAAACCACTCAAAACCTCATTAGATTATGTAAGTCGGTCTTAATCAACTTCATCGTTGAGAAAGCTCTTCCCTATTAGGTAATAGGTAAAGAGTAAAATTAAATAGTAAAACCAGCATTACATGTGCTGGTCCATTTGATTTTGCTACTCCATTTTGGGGCAGAGTCGAAGAATAAAAAAACTGGTGGCTAAAAAATAACTTTTTGTCAGAAGAAAGCTCAAAACTTCGAACGACTAAAGTCGGTATACGAAAATACGAACCCTTGACCTAAATGGTAAAAATGGATGACCTCAACCAACATGTGCTGACCAAAAAAACAACGTTGTCGTATACTGAAGATCCAACGCCGTACAATGATGAATTCATGTAAATGGATGACCTTAACCAACGTGCTGACCAAAAAACAACGTTGTCGTATACCATGATGAATTCATGTACGATAAGCCGATAACCACACCAACACCTAAATGGATAAGGTCAAAAGCATGTTCTATTTTGGCACAATCAATGTCAAGACTAGGTAGGGCAAATGAAAAATCTTACAATTGGAGGCATAGGGATCAGCTGACAAGCCAGAAAAAGCATATGGGTTCAGAGACTTCTTAATAGGAGTAAGCAACTGGTGAGGAACCGGGATATTTGCCACGAAATGCTTGTAGATCAATGCCTGATGTTCCAGTTCCATCCACTGTGAAGGAGTGAATGGACCTCTGAACCTAGAGAAAGAGCCAGGCGTGCTTTCATTTGACCCTCCAGAAGCATAAGCTGAACCAAGAAAAAGCATAGAATTTTTAACTTTTCTAATCAGAACTTGAATAGTATGTTTAACTCCAAATCAAAAAAGTGAACAAATAGAAAGATCAATTAACCAAAGGTTGACTGAACTTCATAAATATCTGAGACTTACATCAAAAAGTGTCATTTTTTCTTTCCTTCTCTCTCTCTTATTTCCTTCGTGCACCTACTTTATTGCTACATTTACTTTTTTTCCCTTAAATGATGTGCAAAATTTCTCCAAGATGGACAAAAAAACACCAAATTTTCCACCCAATATAGGATATAATTAACGAAGATTCTTCACAAGTTTAATTTTTTTCCTTTTTGGGGTTAAATGAGCTTTTTCTTTTATTGACAAGACAATCAGAATCTACAGTTTTTCTTTCAAAAGACCCATCTCTATCCGTTGTACAGGAAAATAATAAAACAGCTAAACATGATTAAAACAGAACAGCGTCATTAACATCTAAATCTCCATACAAAAAGCCTTATTAATTTCCCAGTGATTAATAATCTAAACAGAATCAACCACCCAAATAACAACATTTGTGATACCTGCAGCAGCTCTGGTGTTGTAGGATCCAGAATCAAACAATGGGAAAGGAAGATTCCTAGCAGAAACATTATTAGTACAAAGAAAAGGGATTTCTTCAGACTTATTAGATGAAAAACTGAGCATAGTAGAGTGACCGCGTCCATCATTTGGGGAATCAGATCTCATAAACAAAGTAGGGCCTTGCTGTTTACAAAAAGCAGACAAGTCATCTGCAGGTTTAGGGACTTTAGAAGGCCTCCAAATGTTGTCATCACAAGGCCCAGATCTCTGTTGTTTCAGTTGCCCAGATCCATTACTAGTCTCAGATTGTTGGGCAGTTGAAGTAATGGCTTCCATTGTCATCAACCCACCAAAATCCATAACTTAGAAAACACCACTGTATGAAAGTTGCACAGAGCATTAGTTTATATAGGGAAATTTCTGAGAAAAAATACAGTAGGCGGAAAAAAATAAGCAGAGAAATGAAACAATGGTTGTTTAACTATTTGGAGTTTGCTTTAAGAGAGATAGATAGATAGAGAGAGGACAAAAGGAGTACAAGAGGCAAAAACCATCTTCTACATTTCAGCTACTGGAAACATGTTAGCACATATATATCTAGTTTTGTTTCCCAAAAACAAGCTTAGTTTTATACTTTTTTTATTGTGCCAAATATACCTAAAATGTTAGTCAAAACTCTTACTATAATTTAACTACTGTATAATAAAAAAGGAAAAACAGAGTTTTGTTACAGTATTATTTTTAGTGCTATACTTAGTATGTGTTAAATAACTAGGAGTATATTATAAAAGTAGTTACTAGTAACATAATTTGAAGTTTGGTTAAATTAATTAAAATTATAGTTTTGTTAAAGTATTGGCCAAACTTGCCTTCACTATCATTTACATCTCCCAGAATTATAAAGAAAGTGACGTGTTTTTTTTCTTTTGACCCCATTGTGAGTTACATACAGAAGTATGGACATTTTTATTTCGCAAAATTAAGAATTATCCAAGCTGTTTAATTTGAATTTTTCAAGAGAACATCTCTAGCAAAACCTTACATCAGCCTAAAGAAAGAAGAGATTAATTAGTATCTAACAATAAAATTAAAATTACATAGTTAGTTAATTTTAAAAAATATTAATAAAGTATTTCACATATTATTAATATTTTTTTAAGAAAAATATTATAAGGCAAACTAAATAACATTTCCATAAAATTTCTTAGACGACTAACGCCTTTATGGTATGCTACTTGTTTCATAGTCGTTTTACATATTGAGTTTTTGATGTTTAAATAGACATTCATCTCGTACATCTTGATATACTTTTTTAAGAAATTCTTAAATTATTTGACGAAACTAATTACACTTCTCAAAAGACTAACATCTATAACACATATTACTTACTTCGTGCACGTCTTACGTATTGAATCGCTGTGTATACCTTAATATATTTTCTTTAAAAGCTCTTTAATTATTTGACCATAACTTGTATAGTACGTTGTTGCCCAACAATTTTTATTATTCAGAAATTTGAACATATAATATTAAACCGACGTAGTTAAATGTATCATAGGTAACCCTCTTTTCTTTAAACTGCGGAGTCTTAATGTCATGTCTTATTATAGGTAAAACAGCATTTACTATAACTAGCTAGCTATTCCTATTAAGGAAGGAAAAGGAATATAATTTGTTTTTATTTTGAGATGAGATAAAAGTGTAATGATGTATTAATATGATATGACGAATGGACAACAATAGTTGATGGAAGAGTAATGATAAGTAATTTGTTTGTTGCTAATCAGTTAGCTATACGACATATAAATAAAGATGCAAAGAAATTGTCATTTAGGAAAAATAATGCGTTACTTTCCTCGTGGGTTGAGACTCAAGCCGCAGATTAGGTGATAATATATGCAGAATCCAACTGACGCGTGGCAAACATGCAGATCAAGGCCAATCCGCCACACGACAATTCTACTTGTCTTGTGTAACGCCGTTACTTTACACAAACATTTTTAAATTTTATTCTTTTGAAAAAAAATATTATAATTATAGAGGCTAAGTTCTATAAATATTTCCTCATGTATCCATGATAAAATCCCTAGGGAAAAGATAACTAGCTAGAGTCACATATGACAAAATATAAACTCAAAGATTACTCACATCTCAATTATCAAAATCTGTTCAATTGATTTACGGATGAGGGCGGAGGAACAAGCTTAGTAGATACTCACTCTAATTTTAGTATTTTTTGGAGGATTATAATTAATTCATTTTATTGATTAAAGTAAAATCGCACACTATATAATTAATTAAAATTTTATATTACTCATCCTATGGGTATTTTTCTTTATTTATCAAATAAAGCAATTTTTTTTAAAAAAATTATAGTAAAATTAAGAAATTGAAAGGGTACATGTGCACGTCTCCTCCTCTTTTTGTGCAACAACTATCATTTTTAGTACAATTTTTATAAAGATTTACACATATTTTATCAAATATATATATATTCAAACAATGAACTTTATATAAAATTTATATTCTTATATACATATTTCCATATAAAATATATACACGTAAGTGTGAATAAGATTCAAAATTTAATTTTGTTTACTTAATAAAACGCCCTCTACGTTTGATAATCATTCATCTTATTTTGTATAATCAAAAAATTTCCCTTCAATTAATATATCAAGCTCTAATTAAAGCCCAAGATTTGAAAAAAAGAATCCAATATAGAAATATTAATTAAGCCAGAGAATTGAACAAAACCGATTTCAATTCGAAAATCATTTTCTCAAGTTGAATATAAAATCCGAATAAATCAAAATTGATTGAACTAATCAAATTAATGCTAAGGCCAGAAAATTCAAAATTCTTTTTTTTTCTTCTCCTTTTTGTTTGTGCAGTGGTAAAGAGTAATTTGTACGTAAAGCATGTGAATCCAACATAACATATAGAGAGGATGTGGGGGTAATATATTGAATTAAGGATCAGAACCCAAAGCATATCACCTAGGTAACGTTCCATGCTCCATCACTTTCAAAAATGTCTAAATCTAATAAATAAAAAAGAGCTAGCTGCGTCACTTTTAACATTATTAAATGTTTTGCAGGTTTACATTAACTTACTCAAAATGAAGTGTCCGTTTTTCATCAAGATAGCTAACCATACCCACCCTCTATTATTACATTCTACAAGGCCACAACAAGTGGGTGTGGAAATAAATGAGAGATATTCTCAAGAGCACACATGACCTAGAAGTGTGTGGTGGTCGAATACTAGAGTAGGTCGTTGAATATATTTTTACATTCGATGTTAAATACTTATTTTTTAAATTATTTATTTAAATATAATATTAAATATTATTTAATAGAAATAGTGCGGAGTATAATTAAATAAGAGTTGTAAGTCAAAGGAAAAAGATTGACTATCCAAATATAGTAGCTAGCTTTTCAAGTTCCTTAATATCTTTCTTGCCATCGTGGTTTGGTGCTCACTAAAGTTGGCGAAGGATGATGAAATTTCATGTTTAAATATAGGTATTCGACAAATTAAATATATGTAAACTGATAAAATGAAGGGACTAATTTATTTGGAGGAGTGTTTCACATATTTAATTGGATGTGGATGTGACATATATATATTTTCATATGTGCCATTGTAGACCTTCAACTAATTAGTGAAGAGTAATATACATGAAATTAATATTCCAACGACTGAGAGTGTAAAACTTTTTAAATTATCAAATTATATTCAATGTAATTAAACATATTATTCACAATAACACTAACAGATAACATTATAAATTTTTGTAAACTTAATTTTCGCAAAAAAATTTCAACATAATTATTTTTTTTTGGAGTGTGTCGTCCAAATCATCAATCATGTTCTTAATGTAGCTATTTTCCAAGCAAAATGGTGAATTATTATAACGCTTTGATAATCCAAGGTTGGGATAGTGTTGGTGAGTGTGATATAAGATAAATCGGTGTACGCTCGACATTCTGAAGTTAGGGAAAATGAGGAAACATTTTGGTTCCCATATCTAATAGAGTAGGACCACTTGATGAATTTTCAGTTTAGTGCTCTATTCAACGTACCCACCTCCAAATACATTAAAAAGCTTACATTCTAAGTAGATTCTGTATATTGCTCCCATCCACCCAACATATGCCAATCTTTGTTTTTTTCTGCACACCACACACCCTCCATTCCATTTCATCTTCTACCCATATTATCGCATTTATTCACATTTCCACTTGCCCTTACAAATTTATAAGTAGCTTACAGGTAAACTAAATACATTTATAATTTAAAATACCAAAAGTATTTTTTGACTACCCCATGTATTAGTCATCACTAGGTAGAGTGGACCACAATGATTATTATATCGGCCTGGCTAGAACTGATTATTCGATGGTTTAATAGTCTCTTTGTATGTAGTATGAAGAATTTGTAGCTGCCTTTTTGTCTGTCAACAAACAAAATCACAAGCGGATTTAAGACAAAATTTCCAAACTCCCATTCTTTATTTCTCCAAAACTTTTGGGGCGGAGGTTTCTATTATATATGCAAATAGGTAAATTATTTGGCATTTAACTAGTTTCGCTAGTAATCACGTCAATCATAATGGAATATTTTCTCATAAAGCAATGAATGTACATCTTAAAATTCACTAACGTGTGTAATACAAGTATGAATGTAAAAAGGTTATCTTGTCAGTGCTTATAATTTAAATGTTGCGCATAGATTTATAGGATATGTTCAAGAAATTGATGTTTTTTCTATTGGATCTTCCCTGTTATTAAAAAATTGATGGCTTCTAATCGATAAGAGAAAATAAAGGAAAAAACTCTTATGCATGTAGCATGATATATAGATATATTAATGAATTAAATAAAGAATATGTTATTATTGAGTGAACTAATTAATTTGATGAATTACGCTTGAAGGTTGATATTAAATTAGTGCCAATTGATGAGAGTTAGTTTGTAAGCAAGAACATCTAGGTACGTATATTAATATGTGTAGTGGATCGTATCAATTGCTTTTTTTAGGTATATTAGTGTGTATAGTAGATCATATTAATTGTTTTTTTTTTCTCCACTGTTTTGTTTTTTATTTTACCTTCTTTGATAAGTAAGAAACAAAATTGGGTGACTTACCTTTTAATTTACTCATTTCCCCTCTCATAATATATTTTCTCAAGTCAATTTCATGAAAGTCAAAATATTTAATTGGGGTACATAGATTTAAAGTCTTCCTTTTATTTTGTTTTCTCATTGATTAGTTTATTTTACTTAGAAATGAAGTCTTTCAAAAATTGTTTTGTATGTATTGCTATTAAATGCTTATAAGAGAAATACAAGCAATGATGTCGCTGCACCACCAACAAATCATAACATAGACCTTAAGAAGAAGCAAACTTGTGTTACTCTAATTTTCAATTCATACTTATTACAATTGTTTCAATGATATT